CAGCCTATGGTTCTGGTTATGTAGCTTTTTGGACGATTGGCAATAAATATCAGATGCTGCCCACAACTGGGGGAAGTTCATTGACATGATTATCATCAAAACTTGTAAAAGAAAGTATGCAATCTTCTAATACCTGGGCACTAAAAAGTGTATGGCATCAATACCTTGGTTTTGCAGAATCCAGGATACGCAAGAAGCCCTTGTAATTGTTGATGGGCATAATACCGGGAACAATGGGGCATTTTATCCCAATTTCGTTCACAAATTTGAGGAAGATATGAGTGGCATAGAAGAGCTGAGTAATAATGAGGTCTGCTCCGGCATCAACCTTATAGAGTCTAGATTGGTAGTTAGGAATGCAAGAAATGAGTGAGGAGATAGATAAGCAAAACCTTTCTCTTGAGGTAGGCAAGGTCATTCTGGTAGGCCTCTCCAGTAGGAGAGATAACATCAACGTGTGCCTCTGTTGGGAAGAAGAAGAGCAAAATGAAGGTGAAGAACAAGTATTTCCAATACTGAATTGAATCGGAGCAGAGCGTTATACTGACCATACTTAGTACCACTATAAATTGTTTGACTTGGTTTAAAAATTAATTTTTAAAAATCAATATAAGTGTTTGGTTATTTAACTTTTATACTTTAAAATGTTAAAATTCAAAAAGCTAACTTTTTGAAAAAAAAAAAAATTATACCAATCAATTATCACTAACAACTAATTTATCAACTTCTACAATTATCAACTCTCTAATTAAGAAGAGATTTGTTTGTTTGGCATACCGGGAGTAATTCCGAAGTATTTGTCACGAATGTGCTTGGAATGAGGAATGAGGAAAAATAAGAATAGAGAGACAAAGAGTCAAACACATTGTATGCATATATGCAGATAGAGTAAAGAGCACCGACGAGATCTAAAGCGCATGCAGGAGAAGCCATTGTCGACCTGGACGAAGTTGTTCTGGATGGTCGATCTTGTGGACGGGCATGTTAGTGCAGGTGAGGTGCATCATGGCCATCCGGTTGGCGATGTCGAGGGAGGGTGAGATCGCAGAAGGTAGGGTTATGAACCACCATTCGATCCATCCGCTCCAACAAGTTGTCCACACCATCCTCGATCGGTCTTGGGAAGGAGAAAACCACGTCGCCAGTAGTGCCATTGCAACTGCCCTCCTCGACACTCGATCACCTTCATTTCTCAATTCTCACTCAACTTCAGATCAGTTCAGTTCAGTTCGACAACCAAAGCTTAAGCCACACTTCTTCTTTATAGTATCCAATCCCTACCAAACACCAGCCTAGTGGCCAGTGGACTGCACTACACTACACATCATCAACTACTTTCACATCAAATTCTACGCTGAGAGGTCCCGCCAACCAACCCCAAACTACCCAATTACCGTCATCCAATTTCGTAATTTCACGTTTATATATACTACTAGTTTTTTACGCGATTGGGATAATGCTCAATATTTTATTTTTTTTTAAATAAGCACTTTAAAGTATATCAAGACAAGATTATATTGAAATTGTTCAGATAATTGAATGTTAAATTTGCGTATTTAAATAGGTAATTCTAAATTTACAAATGCAAGATAATATAATCAATATTGATTATAATTGTCAATAAAATAATTGTATAGGTATGGTTGAAACCAAATACGGGACATAAGAGAGAGCAAATAAAATTAGGGCATAAAATATTAAATATATACTAATATTGAAAAGTTAACTGTTGATTGCCAAACAGGATATTGCGAGATAGTTTCCCACTTCAAATTGTTGTGTGATTTGAATATTCTTTTTGTCAATAAATCCCTCAAGTAGTTAAGACGATTGGCTTAATTATATTTTTATATATTTATATTTTTTTAAAATAATAATTATTATTATTATTATTGAAAATTTGTAAAGCGCAGCACCAAAACTGAAGTTGTAACACAAATAATTTGTAACGCAGTTCGGGCAAACAACCCTAATCTGCGAGGCACTTCTCAATTTGAGAACTTGCCTAAATCCACTAAAAGCTCAATATTTAAAGTACACTGTTTGGAACCTGAAATTACACAATAGAATGATCTTTCCTACCAAACTATTGAAACCTAAACACATGTACTACTTTCTAGGGGAATTTAGTATCCTATTCTCAAAGACTCTCGTACCTCACAAGATTAATGTTGAATGCTTGAATTCTACAAGAAAGGACAACCCCTATTTATAGTAGGTATTCCTAACAGATTCGTGAATAATAAAGCTATTCCTAATCAGACTAGAACTAAAAACTTCAATAACACTTCCTTTTAGAACTAGTACTCTTCAATAACTACTCCTCTTAGGCTTGGTATTCCTTTATAGATCTGGAATTCCTTTTGCACATAACTTTGACAAAACACTTTGAGTCAACAATCTCCCCCTTTGTCAAATTTTTGGCAAAAATCTTGATCTCATAGTGGCTTGATTTCCTATTCTTCTCCCCCTTAGTTGATTCTTCTCTCCCTAAACTTGATTCCTGGAATTCTTGAAAAAAAAAAAAACTTTGAAACTTGTATTTGAATGTATGAGTGAAGAGAATTCTTCACTGTCTCTGTACATTTTACCAATGTGTGGTAAAGTAGGTCCACACAGTCACAAAAGTTGAGGATTTGATCATAGATAAGTTCAAGTGGTTTTGGATCTTATATGGGCCCTAAGACATACCCAATCTCTTAAAGAGGCAGAAAAAATGCAACCCATTTTATATATATATATATATATATATATATATATATATATATATATATATATATATATATATATATATAACCATTGGGAACATCATTTATATATATTTCACAGACTATTAGGCATTGGTCGGTTCAAAGAAGAGACCTAATAATTTTGTCCATTTGTCATCAAATGATCATTTTGGAATCAAGCTTTCCACAAATTGGGAATTGTGTGAAGATTTGTACTGAAAAACAATGGGCCAAGGCTGAAGCCGGTGACCCATTACATGGTTGAAGCCCATTTTTATTGCCTGAATATTCTCTGTGGAAACAACAAAAATCCATCCGACAGCAACGAAATCTCAGATGCCTATTGATTGTATCTCAAAATTAGTCGTACATAAATCAGCTGTTTAGAGCACCTCGTTAGGAATCAGTTCAGCTATGGCTTTCCAATACTGTTTATCAGCTTCTTTATGGAACTTCTCTTGATTCCCCAGCTTCTTTAAAAGCTCAAGTCGGACCAACAAATTAAAGTTTTGGATCTGTAAATCAAACTTCGCCATTCACGTAGGGCAAAGCCCGCCTCATGCATTTCATTTGGAGGAGGAAGCACCGGGCCATCAGAGATGAATATTCCGGTGGAATCTTCTCCGAGATCATATGGATTTCCATTGCCGTTTGAAACCGGAACGGTAGAGGATCCGAAAGTTGGGTGCGGATCCGACCCGAATCCATAGGGATCGGGACTGTGGACGGATTGAGGAGAGTGCTCAACTGTCACTTCATCGTACTCTCCCGGAAATCCCCCGGCTGATTGGCACGGTGGCGCGTATCCGCCGTAACTGCCGTCATCAAACGGTGGAGGAGCCGTTCTGACGTGTTCATCCATGGTAGATACATCGAAGATGCTGATTTCCCCGTCTTCTTTTCTTGATTTTCCGGTGATCCTTCGCACCAGGCTCTCTTCTGGGTTGTTGTGGTAGCAAGAAAATGAAGTCACCCGAAGACTCATGTCATTGGCTTCCATGGAGATTATTATAATAACCGGACAGTAACGGGTTTTGATTGGAAATCAGTCTCGTACTTGTATTCATTTATACAAACCCCTCTCGCATTTGGGTGCGCCCCAACTGTTCGACAGAATTTCGGAGTCATTGTAAGTGCAATCCAAACTTCATATTTTGTTCACATATGTCATAGCTCAACTTTATACCCCAATCATGTATATCTGTTACAGTTTTAAGGCATCATCAATGTTTTTTTTTTGGGATCAAACTTGGAGGTGTGGCAGTATACTCCTTTTATTTTGTGGAAATCTTGTTTCTTTCCTCTAGTCTTTATTGTTTGATTGAGATCTCCCATGATATTTTCCAAAGGATGATTTTTCTGAGTAGAATGACTTTTATCCTTTTCTTCATTTGGCTCTATTTCTGTTCTGCAATTCTACATATCATTAGTCAGAGGTGTTGGAACAGTTGTTTCAACAACTCTTGGACTTTTGTCATCATCAGTGGTTATTGTTGGAGTTACATCATCAATGATCACACTGTTTGATGAATAGCCTGGGGATGCTCCTTGGTCATGAAAATTTATGTGTCCCATACGTTGGTGCCATAATTGTGTTTGACTGATGGTTGTCTGTAAACCGGATAGATCACTATCCCATGTGTAGCATTTGTTTGTAGACCTTTTTCCCATCATGACGCAATCATGATTCTGATTAAACACATTGCAACTGTCTCTAGAGAACTCTACTTTGAGTTCATCTTCACAAAGCTGACTTATGCTGATTAGATTTGCTTTTAGGCTTTGTACTAAAAGGACTTTTGACAACTTAGGCAGCCCATGGACATTCAAGGTACCATTTGCAATAATTTGTCCTTTTCCACCGTCTCCAAAAGTGACATGCCCTTCATTTTTGTACTGGATGTTCTCAAGATTTTTTGAATTTCCAGTCATATGCCTTGAACATCCGCTGTCAAAGTACCATATATCTTGCTCTTTGTTTGTTTTGGAGGTATATGCAACATTTTGGTCTTTTCTTACCCAGATTTTCTTACTATTATTTCTGTTCTGTGTTAGCCATACTCTGTTGTTCTGTCTGTAGTAAAGATCATTCTGTCTCTTGTAGCAGTGAGCTTTGATGTGTCCTAGTTTGTGGCAATAGTAGCACCTTATTCTTCTTCGGTGTCGGAAGTGCTGTTGTGACACTTCTTGTGTCTCGGTTTGATGATTCTCACTAGTGTCTGTGCTTGGAGTCCTGGGTCTTTCGGTAAGCTCCTTGATTTCTTGTAGTAGTTTAGCTTCTTTGTTTTTGAAGTCTAATAGTTCGTTTTGAGCTTCTTTGTATTGTTTCTCTATTCGTTCTTTTTCATTCTTCAAATAGTGATTATCTTCCATGAGTTCCAAATTTTTCTTGATTATTTGCTCTCACTTGGCATTTAGTTGAGTGTATGCCTCTAGTAACTCTTGCATGTCATCGCTATTGTTGCTTTCATGGCTAGCGGTGAAGGCTACGAAATTTGTGTTGCTGTCATCTTCTTCACTATCTGAGTCATCGCTTAGGGTTGTTATATATGTTTTATTTTTCCTTTTCAAGTATGTGGCACATTCTGATTGGATGTGTCCAAAACCTTTGCATTCATAGCACTGTATTCCTTCTGTATTTGAACTGTCTCTTCTTTTTGAAATAGATTGATTTTGTCCAGTTGGGAAGTCCCCTTGATTGATTGAAGCACTTTTGTTTCTAAATTTGTTGAATTGTTTGAGAACTCTGTTGAAATTCTTTGTTAGGAGAGCGATTGACTGTTCTATGGTTTCAGTATCAATTTCTGGACTTCCTTTCTGCTTTGATTGGAACGCAATTCCTTTGTCATTATCTTTTCCTTTTTGCAGTATCTCAAGCTCATATGTTTGAAGATTTCTCATTAGATCACTCAGTTTGTAGGTGTTTAGATCTTTATGTTTTTGAATAGCGGTGACTTTCATTTGGAATCTTCCGGGTAGTGAGCGTAGTACCTTTTTGACGATCCTATGTTCGGGTATAGGTTCGCCTAAGTTGAATGCATCTCCGGATATACTTAAAACTCTGGCACTGAATTGGGTGATGCTTTCTTCCTCTTCCATTTTCAGGTTTTCAAATTCAGTTTGTATCATCTGAAGCTTAGATTGTCTTACAGTTGTGTTTCCATCATGATGATTGCACAATATACTCCACGCAATTTTGGCTATGCGAGTGGAGGCAATCAGTTTGAAGGTATCTTCGCTCACAGCTCCATAGATTGCATTCATTGCCTTCGAGTTGAAGTTATATTCTGTTTTTTTCTTCTTCACTCCAGTCAATTTTAGGTTTTATGTTTCCTTTATCATCAACTGGAGTTTTCCATCCGTTTTCTATAGCATTCCAAACACCTTCTCCTTGTGCCAAGATGTATATTTGCATTCTGGCTTTCCAGTAGGAAAAATTCGTGCCAATGAGGGCAGGTGGCCTAGTGCTTGACAGTCCTTCTCTGGGAAACTCCATTAGGATCCTGCTAATAACTTAAGCAGTTTGGCTCTGATACCAATTGAAAATTTGTAAAGCGCAGCACCGAAACTGAAGTTGTAACACAAATAATTTGTAACGCAGTTCGGGCAAACAACCCTAATCTGCGAGGCACTTCTCAATTTGAGAACTTGCCTAAATCCACTAAAAGCTCAATATTTAAAGTACACTGTTTGGAACCTGAGATTACACAATAGAATGATCTTTCCTACCAAACTATTGAAACCAAACACATGTACTACTTTCTAGGGGAATTTAGTATCTTATTCTCAAAGACTCTCGTACCTCACAAGATTAATGTTGAATGCTTGAATTCTACAAGAAAGGACAACCCCTATTTATAGTAGTTATTCCTAACAGATTCGTGAATAATAAAGCTATTCCTAATCAGACTAGAACTAAAAACTTCAATAACACTTCCTTTTAGAACTAGTACTCTTCAATAACTACTCCTCTTAGGCTTGGTATTCCTTTATAGATCTAGAATTCCTTTTGCACATAACTTTGACAAAACACTTTGAGTCAACAATTATTATTATTATTATTATTATTATTATTATTATTATTATTATTATTATTATTATTATTATTATTATTACCCTTAGGTCATTTTACATGTTAATCTAAACAGCTAATTTTTTTAAATATATTGTTATCAATCGTTGATATAATTCGCTAGTCAAATTCACTAATATAATCCGCTAACGCTAACCGCTAAGTGCTGATTGTCAAACAAGGACATTGCGAGGTAGTTCTCACTTCAATTTGTTGTGTGATTTGAATACTCTCTTTGTCAACAAATGTCTCAAGTAGTTAATATGCCAACTTTGATTGGGATGGGGTTCGAACCTAAGACCTTTCTTATTGAAATCAATAAGTTAACGGTGAACTAACAGAAATTAACGGAAAATATAATATTTAACGGAAAAGTTAACGGATAATCATATTCATTAAGGATAAATTAGGAAATCTTAAGGAAAAATTAAAATCCGATCAATCTGAGCCATTCATTTGATTAAAAAATTTGACCGCTATTTTTTCTACCCATTATAGGCCTAACTCTCTTGGGCTCTTATTAGTATAGTAGACTAGCATTTTGTACGCGCAATGCGTGAAAACCAATGCCCAATATTAAAATATTGTAAAGTAACACAATTCCTTAAAGTGATGATACTTTTGAATTATCATATATTTGAATATAGAGATCAAAACAATATATATATATATATATATATATATATATATATATATATATATATATATATATATATAATAATTTACAAATAATACTAAGCTAACAACTACATATATGATATATTGATATGTATACACAAATAATATATATATACATATTATTTATAATTAAAATTTAATATTCATATAAATATTTAATTAAAATATAATTTATAATTAAATTAATTGTTATATGATCATTTTAATAAAAGGATAACTAAAAATAGGAAAAAGATATGATAGATGTAGGTGTATGGTAAGATTGGTGGACATATTAAATACTAACGGTGTTATAACGGTGTAAGGGTAATTTTGTCCAATACAAATCAAATGTACAACAATTAAAGCAAGATGTATATATTTATTAGCATATAAAAAAGGGACAAAAATCAAGGACATAACTTGTATTGGCACTTATTATGTTTTTAGATTAGATTACTATTACTATTTCCTAACAAATTCCGTTTATAAAAATATAAAATTATATTCTTCAAATGATTTGTTTAATATTTAATTATGATGCCAAGTACCAAGTACCTTATGATTTGTTGAATAGTGAATAGGTTAAAGTGTACTAATCTAAATCTAATCCTCTAAAAACATAACTCTTAATTCAAGTTATAATCTGATTTATGTATGTTTTTTAGTTAATGTTGTACTATATAATTTTTTAGACAAAAAAATCCTCTATAGTGTATGTGACTCTTTTAGATGTAGTATCTATTCATATATACTTTCTCAATCTACTGAAACCCAACAAGTCAATACCGCCCCCACTAAGTCTCAAACCCATGACCTTCCACTTGGGAGTCATGCCGCCGACTTTGACAATATAAGAAATAAATTTGATTTCATTTAGATTTTAATTAAATGTTACCATAATTTTTGTTTAAAAAATTATATATTATTATTTTTAAAAAAATAATATAATTAATAATTTAACATTGAATATTAATATTGGGCATATATTTTGTGCACATCGCACATATAAAATACTAATCTAAAAATATAATAAGTCACAATCCATATTATATCTCTGATTTATGTCCATTTGTTCAATTAAATTTTTTTTTTATACATTATGCTATAAGAGTTGTACTATATAATTTTTTGCACAAAAACATCTCTATCGACTATTGTTAAAATTTCTGTTATTTTTTTCTCATTATTATTACCATGCACATGAATACACAATAAAGATATTATATTCTTTAATGGTAATAATGTATATAGACATTATATATTAGAATAATATAAGAAATAATTTTGATTTCATTTATATATATATATATATATATATATATATATATATATATATATATATATATATATATCAAGTTCTTGTGCGGTTAAATATCTCCCGTGCAGTTGTACGGTTATTAATGCGTGTGAGTTTTGTACTTAAGGTGCATGAGTGTGTATTTAATGTGAATACAAAACTCACACACATTAATAACCGTACAATCGCACGGTAGATATTTAACCGCACAAGAACTTGATATATATATATATATATATATATATATATATATATATATATATATCGTTTTGACAATGAATTAATAGAGGGGTTGGATATCGCAAATTTATTAGAAGTCACATCTATATTCAATCTACTAATGACGAACAATTTAAGTGGATACAAATTGAATCAGAGCAAATTTAGCATCTAATCTACTAATGACGAACACTTTAAGTGGATACAGATTGAATCAGAGCAAATTTAGTTAAAATTGTAGTCAAAATTCATGATATGCTCTGTATTTGGAAACAATAATAAAATTGAAAAACATGAATTTCGATTGAAATTATATTTCAGTAAACACACACACACAAGAGGTTTAATTTCCGTGCTAAAATTCAATATTGTCTTTTGATATGTACATCTGTCTGACTTTGCGAGTTGTTCCCTTTTGGCTGTGGCCTAATATTCTTTTTCTTTAAAAAAAAAAGAGTATTTTACTCAAAATGGTCCCTCGACTATAGCTAAATTCACAAATTGGTTTTCGACTTTTAATTTCAATCAATTAAGTCCTTAACTTTGTAATTTTAACACAATTTGGTCCTTTGTCTATTTGACTGTTTGTTGACTGCACATTTTAGGATATATATGTAATTTCATGGTCCATCGTCGATTTTTTAAGGTTCCGGTTGCATTTCTAGACCGCACTGTTACATTTGAATCCACTGTCGGCACTGCACCCCATGCCGGAGAGATTATAGCTTTTGATAGATAGATCGCCGAAGTCCCTGGAGTGGCTCTTCGAGAAAGCTGTGACTCCAAGCGATGTAGGCAAGCTGAACCGGCTCGGGATCCCCAAGCAGAAAGCGGAGAAGCACTTCCCCCCTCGAAACGGCGCTGTCACCTCCAAGAGCGTTCTCTAAGCTGAACCGGCTCGTGATCCCCAAGCAGCAAGCGAAGAAGCACTTCTCCCTCCGAAACAACGATGTCACCTCCAAGAGCGTTCTCTTGAGCTTTGCACGTGAAACTACATATATATCCTCAAAGATCGCAGTCAACAAACGGTCAAAT